GCCTGCCTGCCTGTCTGTCTGTCTGTCTGTCATATTCAGTTTGTTTGTGCTTTTGGTTTTGTTTGGTTAGTAAATTTTTAAAAATTATTATTTCTAGAGGTGGGGTGGTCTGTGGTGAGGGGAGAAGGAGTAAAACGGAAGCTTAATTAAATAAGGGTTGAGTCAACGGCGAAACTGTTGCATAAAGCCACAGAGCAGAATGAGTTTTAATTCGAAGGTAATACAACAGACCAGAGGCCAGTTAACATGTAAAAGGTCGTCAAACCCATCCATGCCAACCCAGACCAAACCTAACGCCGGGATAGAGACATTGTGAATTCAATTTACTTTTTAAAAATCGAAACGTTTATCTAAAGAAAAAATGATTAAATATTTTGCTCTCCATCGACACGATTTTCATAATTTAATAAGAGGCGGACTGCTCGACCCTGCCTATCACAGCTTACGTGGGCTGAGTGGGACAAAGCATCCTAACAGACAGAGGGAGAAACAAATGTTTGTATAAAATGTAATTGTAGAAGTCTCGTCTCCATTCGATACTTTTAAGAACATCTAGGGGGTGGGCTGCTCGATCCTGCTGAATGGGATACACCATCCCAGCAGACAGGAGGAGATACTCGATTAACCCTATCCGTATGCATTGGGGTTATTTTTGTACCCACGGGGTTGTATTCTTCACATTTTAGAATACTTTTAGTACGAAGATCTCTTTGAAACTTTCAGTATTTCTCAAAAAAACATTTTGACAGACTGCTATGCAAAGCGTACGGATCGGAATAACGAGTAAATTTCCTCATTGGAAAGTGGTGGCACAGAGTTCTACACGTCGTAAGGATATGATAGTAAAACACGACGTACGAATAGGGTAAAAAGAAAAAAAAAACCAACGGCAGAAGGTCAGGAACCGAACTCACACGACGTTTTTGGGTTTTTTCTGAGCGCAGCAGCGACGATCCTGACCGACACCGACACACCACAGACGCCGGTGATGATGGGCTACGGGGCTGCCAGCCAATGATTGTACTGCGGAGACTGGGGAGGTAACTATTCCGAGACGGACGAGAAGAATTCGGACCTCACACGACAACGCACTTCCGTGCAAAGAGAGGTACCACCTGACTCCCCGTCTCAACCTGGGGGTGGGTTTAGGGGGTCTCTCAATGGGGGACGGGGTGTCCCTCAACGGGG